GGAAGAACTCGATACCCTCATCGGCGGGCGTCTTGGGCGTGACGGGCGAGATTGGACTAGTACCAGCGCTCGACGTTGGAGACGACTTGTTACTGGAACCAGGAATAGAGACGGAAGGTTTGCTCTTAGAGTTGGCTTTACGACCTTTACCCATTGCAAAAATTGAAGAAAAGAATGGGCGAGATGATGGAAGTTGAGAAAGAAGAGGTATTCGCGAATTTAAACTGTAGAGAAGATGATGATGTCATCATCTGATTTTGAACTTGGCGCTTATTTTGTTCTTCTTTGGATGGTGATTGGATGGTGACGAATGTAATTGAGAGCATGTACTACCCTCAAATACTTGAGGGATCGTAAGTACTCTGCGTTCTCTCAATCTCTGACGAAAATTTATGGGGTCCAGCTAGCTTTCAGGGACAATGATCGAAATCAGAGGACTACCATGATCTATCATCTAATCGGGCTTCGTGGTCAGTAAAGTATGTGTTGGAAGCTGGATGGGTCTTGGTTGCGGCACTCGTGTATACCGCATGCACGTTGGTATTCAATCTCTAACTCTGACTATTGGCTCTTTCCAACGGCATAACCACCTCGAAGCCCTAGGCTCGACCCGAGTATTCATTCTTCTTACACTGGGCATCTAACGTTAAATTGGTTTAAAGATTCCTCGGCTTTACATTATCATCCTCACTACTATAAATGTCTCGCAATGCAAGCCCGAACTATTCACTACGCTTTGCTGACATCCTAACCTTTTTACCAGTTGAAAATGTTTAATCACAATTTCGGCAAACGTGAATCGCGCAAATTCATCGATCTGCTGCTCGACTCGACTAACAAGTGGACCAATATCGACGCTGGGAAAAACATTCGTGTCAGTAACCTTATTGAACCCGTCAATCAAAGGTGATTCACGTTGCAAACAGGTCGGGGACTTTGGTACTATCGATCCTTCCACTGGAGATTTTCTCATCGATGGAAACCTCTACGACTTGACTGAGACCCGGGACATTATGTCCAAGTATCCCGTCCAATCAACACCTAAAGTCCAAATCGAAAAATACTCATCAGACGCCGTTAAAGAGTTGGGCTTCTCACCTAAAGTATCTGCGGGATTGTGCGTATTTTTCCTCAGATGACATGCGCTAACTAACAAAAACATCTATCTATTATATAGCCAACCCGTTGCTGATATCAGCTTCGAAGCCAGCTGGGAATTCAGTCGAGATCGAGGTGCCCTCCTCGTCCTTACCTCCGCCCACACCGAATACATACGTGGATTCCCTACCGCCGCATTCATTGCCAATCCTCAGATTACTGCACTATTGAAAAAGAAGGTCATATGCACTGACGTCACGTCTTGCCCTGCATTCTGCTTGTACCTCTCCAATTCCAGTTAGTTCCTTGAATATGGTCTTTTTTCTCGAGCAGTTTACAGTGCTAACTGGGAATCATGACAGAAACCCACGCATTCAAAATCTCCTTCGAGGCATCGGTTCCCATCGCCGCAGCCGTGCCTGGAGTCACTGCTGGCGGAGGACTCGGTACCAACTGGAAGTTTCAGTGGTGCGCAAGGAATTATCAAACAAGGCGCCAATCCGGAACCAGTCTTCCACCCTCTCTTCTCCTTGAAAGCCATCAGGTGGGAGGGACTCGGTTCCGTTGTTCGTGGCGAGAAACCTACCGAATTGGAAGATGAATCAATGTGAGCGACGGATACTATGCTCGAAAATCAGTGACTGAATCAGATGGATGTATAGCATGGATGATGTGCAAAAACCATGGAAAGATCTCGATAACGAGGGAGAGCAGATTTGGGTACCTGTAGATAGTGGTGCTCCTCTGGTGAGTCGTGTTTGTCTATACCGGCTTGATCAATGGTTGAATTTCAATTGTTCATAGGCTTGAGTATTTTTTTTGAACTTGTGTATCTCGATTATAACTAGACTTCAATGAAACACGCATATTGATATGTTCGTTCAAGTTCATTCATAGCCAAAACATCTTACCAGTGTCAATGTTACAAGAACCCTCATTCAAGTTGCGGCTACATTAGTCGTCTCATGATACCACGCACTACTCCTCGATACTAATGACATGTCTTCGAATTTCGGACCCGTTTCAAGCTTGAGCAATGACAACTTGACCCATTTACTCCCCTCTGCTTTGTCAATAACACCATTTCCTTCCTCCACCGACATCGAGACAGAATAATGGCGTCCTGTTACAGGACTTCTGAGAGCTCGCGCGCTTATTGCCCTTTTCAAGCTTGATGTTTCAGGCATGTTATTCGTCAACGTGCTAAAGCTGTACTTACCGGCGAATTCCAGCGCTGTCCGGGTAACAACCATCATCATATACATAATGAAACACTTCCGATGTAAATACATACAGTAGCTCCGGTCTTGGAACACATAGCGTAACGCCAAAATTACACTCAGCCCAATGATAAAACAATCTACAATTTAAATCATAAATTAAATAATAAAAACGAATGAAGATACGGAAACAGTAGTGTTTCATGCAGGAGACAAGAGATCCGATGATTGGAAGGAGAGTATCTCTTCGTACAAGAGTTCTTTGAGGTCTTTCTTGGAAAGTCGTTCTTTATATACTGCGACATAGTCATTAACATGAGGGCAAAGCCGACGGTACCGGACTACTCACAATCAAACTCGAATTCCTCAGATCCAAGAGGCGAAGCAATAGGTTCGTCGTCAGGATCATGATACGTTGAGAGATAGGGATGTGCAAGCGCTTCTTCGACAGTCATTCGCTTCATGGGATCGAAAGTCTATGGACGATGAATATCACGATTGACGTGAAGCAGATAGAACTCACTAAAGTGCGTTGTAAAAAATTGATTGCATTTTCAGAAGCAGTGGGGAAAAGGCTTCTGAAACTTTTCGCTCGCCTCAACGGCAAGGCACGGATATACTCTCGTGCACGACGTGAGGATATTGAGGAGAATCCTTCCATAGTAGGCGTCCCTGTGGAACTGATCTTTAATAACTTTGAAGTATCGACCAAACTTGAAACGCACCAAGTATGTCAAGTATCAAGTCAAGTTGATGACTATAATCCCTCCCAGGAAACAGAGGACGCCCCGATAACAATTCTGCAAGGATACATCCTACAGCCCAGATATCAATTGCCTAAAGCGACCGAAAGGGTTAAGAATGTCCTGCGAACGAAAGACAACGCACTTGGAACGCACCTTTGTGTACACGTTCGAACTTGTCAAATTTTCCGGAGCTCTATACCATCTCGTTGCAACGTATTCAGTCATCGCCCCATTATCCCCTGAACCTTTCCCGGGCATCCCGCAAGTACTCAGATTCCTTGCCAGCCCGAAGTCGCACACCTTCAGGTCACAATTTTCATTCACCAAAAGATTCGCCGGCTGTGATTGCATGATTGAGAAGGAGAAAAGAAGAAAAAGGGAGCCTACGCACTTTGATATCCCGATGAACAATATCTGCTCCATGGATGGTCTTCAAGGCGCGAAGAGTTTGATAAATAAAATACTGGAAACAGTTAGAGCACTAGAAAACCGCTTTGAATGCGCGAGATTTACCTGGCAATGATCATCACTCAGACACTGAGTTCGGATCACTCTGTGTAGATCGGTATGCATGAGTTCTTGAATAACTGCGCGAATGGTAAGTAATGAATGGCGCACAGAAATAGCGATGACTGACAGTAGATAGCATTAAAGGATTCCAAAGATTCGGGCTTGAATGATATCGAGAATAGTAACGATCTATGTATCGCGTTTCAAGGTAAGTTCCACCATTGAATAAGGCAGTACTCTACTCACGTTTTCATTGAAGCAGGATTCCGTAAAATATTTCAAGAACTTGAGTTCTCTCAATGTGCGCAGGGCACAGAGGACGTGATCGAAGGGGAGCACTTTCTTGATAGCAACTCGACGTCCAGATGGTTTGTGTATAGCTGCGACAACTTCTCCGTAGGCCCCCGCTCCTAAGGTATGAGTGATCAGGTAGTCGTCGCCTGTATTGAAGAGTAGGTCAGCTGTGTTTTACGGGTCAAGTACCTGCAACGCCTTACCAATCTCGAATTTGGGCAGGGGTTTGTCAGTGAGTGCTTGAACCATGCTTATCGACGGAAAGGGATCGAGGAGAAGGGACAGAGCCTCGGTGAACAGAAGGGAAACGAAAAGAACGGCTGTACGAAGGGAGGGAACGTTCGAACGGGAGCAAACAGATATCTGGGGAATCCTTATATATAGTAATTAATAATTATACCCGATAGCAGGTCTGACCTAAAGTGTATAGGTCAGAAAACCCTGTCAAATCGTGATGCCGGCGCCCGACTAACGGTTGTTGTAGCGATGATTTGTTGATGGAATCATGAATGTACGATGTTGCTTTGGATTTGGACTGATTTATTTACTGGTCTATAAAAACTGTATATGAATACAATCTAAAAGAATATCTAAGAGAATACAAAGTAAAGGGCATACCGATTGTGGACTATTTCTTTCCATATAGTATATGATATGATGCATATATGCAAAGTTCCTGTCGACGTCAATCGCGCGCTATCGCGCGGGTCCAAATTGAAGTAGTTCCGCTGGACTGCCGCTGGCCTGCTCTGGAGCCGTTGCTGTTCTCCTCATCATTTGCTCTGTAGTAGCAGAAGTAAGACGTCTTCAGACATTCATTTCCATACTATCTGAAGACGTCTCCATACTGTATCTCAGCATATCCTCCAGCTCACGATGTCAGGAAAAGCTATTTCAGTGATGTCAAGACTCGGAATCAGGCAAATTTCATTGCAGGCCTGTGTAGATATGTTGACCCTGGAGAAGGCGGTCTTAGGTGGTCTTGCAGTCTATAGTGAGCTCAGATTGACAGATTGAAAGTATTGAGTGTTTCTTGGGTAAAAAGGAAGGGGGAGGAGAGGCAAGAAAGAACTGCTCAGATAAAAATTAAGATCCACGTATTGATACTGTTACTTCATGTGACCTTAGCAACGCTTCCTTAGCTCAGTCGGTAGAGCGCCAGTCTCATAGCTGAGTAGTGTTGCACTACGTTATCTGGAGGTCGCAAGTTCGAGCCTTGCAGGGAGCACTCAATAAAGTGAGTCATAGCTTTTGCTTAGAGGTATTAGCACAGTCGTAACTTTTCGATTAGATTTTTATTGTTGACATTTCAGCCATCAGTTCTATCAACTGCTATACGCTTTACATTTATTCATGGCACAAACTTTACGGTATAAGAAACATTGTATTTAAACCAATCACCCATCTCTAGCGCTACCTCCATGAAGCCCGAGTTCGACCTGGCGAACTATACCCGTCTCGTACAGCATATGCAACGTTACGGGTGCCCCGGTAAGATTGAGAATTGGTAGTGACGTCCAGTCAGGAAGTGATCCCCTAGGCAAATCAAGCAGTGCGACTCCACGTCCGTCCGATCCACCGGTAAGCTTCATCAACGGCACAGAAAACGACTCTCTTTTCTCCTTTGAGCGAATCTTCACATGTGAGCCCACCTCCAAGTGGTTGGTTGAAAGCGAAACATATTGAGGAAAGTTGGGATAGAGCATGACGTATCCCCGAAGGTAGACCAGCTCTATAAAGTACTTCTTCCACGACATTTTCCACTGGTTCGAGCGAACGTTAGGAACGACGACCTGTGTGAGGTTGAAAACCTCTTCAGAGAAGCGCGTAGTAAGGTAGTCGTGAAATTCCATCCAATGCTCAGGGAAATATACGGCACCCCAGCTACATGGAATTTGGGAGAGATATGGAGTGAAGGGATGCGCGCCAGCGGAAAGTAGAATGTGCGAGGCGTTGAATGGACGTCTCCCAGCCACGTCAAGCTCGAGATTCTTCGGCTGGTACAAACTGATTCCAAACATTTGCGGTATCTTCCCTCGGTTTGGACCATATCTGCGAGCAGTTAACTGCATTAGTAAAGCCTCCTCATAAAGTCCGGGTAGAAACCATCACCTGTAGCGAAGAAGCGCCATCTTAATCCAAGCGTAGAACAAGGGAGACAGTTCAACGTCATCTTCCAGTAGCACACCGTAAGAATTGTTGGAATGCGGGAACCAAGATTCGGCGATAGCGGTGAGCAGCCCACCATGAATAATCGCGATGATGCACAAACATACTACCGTGATCCCAGCGAAAATTCTTGACCATGTTCATCGTTTCCAGATCGCTAGATTGCTCGAGGTTGACCCGTAGATTAACCGTATCGCCGTAGAACCGTGCTTCAGATATGGACCCCAATAGTCGAGACAGAGACTGTGGCCGATCTTTCGTGATGATGGTCAGAGTTACTTCGGGAACATTCCACTCTGCTTGAATCAGTAAAGAAACGCGATAGACAATGGAAGAGCTCACCTTGCCATTCGTGAGATGTGAGAGCACCCATCCAGCTAGAGTGTTCCAAGTCTGCTCGAGGGATACGAATCACTCGAGCGCTTGAACATCCTTCAAAGGACTCGGTGGTTTCCGAGAAGGTAATGATGATTCCGGGGTTTTCCTCGGCTTCGTTGAGCCATGTAGCAGGAGACTCGTGGGCGGACAAGACTCTATAGGATAGTGTACAAAGATGATGCTCCAAAAAACGACTTTCGGGCGATCTTTGAGTTTCTTCATGCTGATACAAGGCGATATGAAGAGTGTGGCCACTTCTCTCAAGGCGACACGCGACTGGAGCGAACAATTTTAAGTCATTGACGTCCAAAAGTACGATACCAAAAATCATAGGTGTATCGTCCAACAAGATTTCATCGGAAGCAATGTCGGAGGAAGAAGTCCACTCGTCAAATAGTGAATCAGAATCTATCCCGGAGCGGAGCATTTCCAAGACGGGCTGCTGCTCCTTCAAAGTGCACCAGTTCATGTCTTGCTTGGTCTGTGAGGATCGAGAAAGGACTATCCCCCCACCCCAAATGTCAAGGCTAGAGAGGTAAGCGCCAAAGGCAGGCCATGATCTAGCGTGTTCACCAGCATGCGAAGCTAAGGAGACTGGCATGACGAAAGGCGGAACGAGATAAGACGCTTTTCGAGGAGAGTCGGACGGAGATATGCAAGATGTATTATGTGATAGCCATACACCTCTTGGTCCTAGCGGTAATGGTGTTGGAGGAGGGTTGAGAAGAACGTGTTGAATCTCGTTATCTAGTCTTCCGAGACCTTCCTCATCAAGAATGAGAAGCCAGTCCGTTGAAGAAGTGACAGCGGCCTGCAAGAGCGCCTCGCTTTCACTTAGCGTATTTTTCCATGACCGAATAGAGCATTGGATGTGTTTGGAAAATTCAATCTGTGACATTATGGTAAAAAGGTTGGAGCGTAAGCTGGGAGTGATATGATCTTGGGATACAAGGAGGATTTCGCGGAGGTGCACGGACGCGGTGTCCGGGTGAACGATAGCTTCAAGAATGTAGCGCAAGCGAGGAAGAGAATTCTGCGTTACAGGAAGAACAGCGGTGAGCGAGTGTTCCTGAATTAACGATGCATTTCCAGAGCTAAATGTAAGCTCAGAATCGAAACTATTGATAGATGAGCGACCAAGTTCGAGAAGTGCTTGAGCATTTGAGAGATTGTTTGTTTTGTCTTCGGTCGAATTTCCGGGTGCACGTAGATACAGAAAGAGAAACACGCAGAATGAGCCACAAAAACACCACCGAAGGATACTTGGAGACATAACTTCGTAGTGGAACTTGGCAAGAAGCAATAAGCGCTGGCGAGTTGTGGCGCGCGCCAATTTCGTTACTTCGTCTCCAACTCTTTCCTGGTCTTGAACGGAATCGCTCTTTTTTTCTACCCCATTAATTTTTGCACGTTATGGCAAGTTCCAGTGCAACTCCTCCTCCCGAACAAGATGCTGCAGAGCTTAAAAAGGCGTTGGCAACTGGCGGCGGACCATCATCATCAGAACAAAATGTGCAGCTCTCTGCAGGTGCGTAGACATTTCGGCTCTCTGAACGTCTTAAACTGATTATTTCTCTAAATAGTTCCTCCTATCGTTTGTTATTGTTTTGCTTCTATCCTTATGACCGTAATAAATAAAGTGCGTGCCCCAAAATTTCACGCTTCGCGTACTAATTCCTAACTGTAGTTTGTCGTGTCGGGAGCCAACTTTTCCATGAACTTTCTGCTGCTGTGTATACAGTCGTCTGTGTGTATAGGTGCTGTCACAATCGTAAAAAGATTGGGTATCATTTCGTTCCGAGATTTCGACTGGAAAGACGCGAAAGCGTGGTTTCCGATATCCTTCATGCTGGTAGACTCAAGCGTTATAGTTTGCCAACGTCAACTGATCATTCCCCATAGGTCCTGGTGATATACACAGGCTCCAAAAGCTTGGTAAGTTTGTGCCGATACATCTGTCCTTGCTGTTAATGAACGTACTCTTAGCAATTTCTGAGCATTCCGGTATACACCATCTTCAAGAATCTGACCATTATCTTGATTGTGAGCTTATTATGCGTGCGATTATCTGCTCGACTCTCAACATGTTATGATCAGGCTTACGGAGAGGTTCTGTGGTTCGGAGGCAAAGTTACTGGGCTTACCTTTGTGTCCTTCATCTTCATGGTATAGTCTAATCTTTCGTGCATAAAATCTAATCTCTCATCGACATTTACCTTCAGGTCTTCTCCTCTGTTATTGCTGCATGGTCCGACGTTTCGACCGCAATGAACGATGCAATTCCAAACGCTGGAATGGGTTCTGGCTTTAGTTCCTTACACGACGTAACGGGCGTAGTTCAAAGACTGAATATTGGATACTTCTGGATGCTCTTTAACTGTTTAGCGAGCGCTTCATATGTAAGTTGCGGCGGAAAACGCGTGCGGGATGACGTCTAAATGAAAAACCCACCTTAGGTACTTACAATGCGTAAACGCATTAAAGCTACAGGGTTTTCGGATTGGGATTCGATGTTTTACGCGAACCTCCTTTCCATCCCTGTACTCGCTCTCTTTTCAATTGTAGCAGAAGACTGGGGAACTGAGAATTTGAACCGCAACTTGTGAGTGGCCGTCCTATCTTTTGTACTTGGACCTGATATCTATTGTGTCTGAAGCCCTCCAGAAACTCGAAGTTTTCTCCTGATGGCGATAGCGTTCTCTGGGGCAGCAGCAGTCGGTATATCGTACACCACTGCTTGGTGTGTACGAGTTACGAGCAGCACAACCTACAGGTATGCGGGATGTCTATGCACATTGATGCTTTTCTAACTCGGCTTAATAGCATGGTAGGTGCGCTCAACAAGCTTCCCGTTGCAGCGTCTGGTATGCTGTTCTTTGGGGATGCTGTCACATTTGGATCAGTTTCTGCGATTGGTGTAGGATTCTTCGCAGGTTTACTGTACGCTGTGGCCAAAAACAATCAAAAGAAGACGGAAAGTCGCATGCAATCCGAAGGAATGATACCTTTGGCGACTCGGAAACCATGATATCTCAGCCTCCTGTGTTGCACTGTGTTATCGCGGACATTACGCTACACTTAGAGCTATCTTGTACTAGGACGTGGATTTAGAGAAAATATTGTTCCATACTGTACACACATAGACAGTACGATGCCCGCCCTAAATCCGACACGACCCATAGTGTTCAGTGCAAATCCGAACGCTGACGGTTATAAGTCTGACCAGAAATGCCTGTGAAATCGTAAATTACCCCATCAGAGTTGGAAATTTCGCGGTCCCTGCACTTGAACCACAACTATCATCATCATCATGAGTTCATCCGAATCGACGGCTTTGTTGCACCCTCCAAGGCTGGCATCTATCTTCGCTGGCACTCCAAGTGCCCCGGGCACGCCTGTCCACTCCATCCAGACAATGAGAAGGAAAGCTGCAGGACACAGTGGTCCTTTGACCAAGATTTTGGTCGCGAATCGAGGTGTACGTTCGTTATCTTTCTGTGAAATTAATCTTGAATTGTCTCCAGGAAATCGCTATTCGAGTATTCAGAACTGCCCATGAACTGGCAATGCACACTGTTGCGATCTACTCGTACGAGGATCGTTTGTCTGCTCATCGTCAAAAGGTTAGCCTGCTAAAGTATTTCATTATTCTCAGATTGCTTATCCATCATCTAGTCCGAT